ATTATGTCAACTAACATTGAAAAAAATTCAGCTGTTTTAGAGGGGGGACATGTCTTGACAGCTTATTCTTTTTTTCTGGTCGTAAGCTTGGCCAGTATGCAAATCAAGAGCTTTTGAAATCCCTTTCCAAAATAAAACTCCGGACTTAAGCTTAAAATATATATATTGATCCAAGTGCATGATCAGCAGGGTCAGCAGTAAGAATAAAGGAAAACAGGCCAAAAGGAAAAATAGTGTTAAAAAACAGAGACCAAACAGAAAAAAAAAAAGGTACAAATAAACAAAAAACAGCGTCGCCGGGAGTCGAACCCGGATTATCTGCACGTGCAAGCAACTCCTTGACCACTGCACCACAATGACACACATGCTTTGAAAAACAAATTTGTCATATCAAAACAATTTTTCACTGCCATAGACGCTGTTCCAGTGAAGCAGGTGGAGCTGTATTTATCATGAATTCAAATATACATTTGAGGAAAAATTGCTTAAGCGCTTATTTCAAAGCTGTTTCGCATTATTTCGGGTTCAACGGACCGACACGAAGTAGATAATCGATCGAACTAGCTTTACTGACTTTGGTGGAGAATTAGGAGATCAACAGAGGCTCACACTCGAAAGGAGTGATATGAAGTTAGGCCGGTTTAATTAGCAAAAGAATAGATGAAATATAAATATGTGTGATCTGTGAATGGAACCTCCTATTCTGGAGACTAGACCTTGCCTATTTCAGAGAAAAAAAAAGATTTAAGTTTTGATGACCTTGCCGGTCCCGTGAAATAGATGGCGATCCCGCAACACGGCCCGCAATACATAAAGCAGATTATAGCAACACCAAAGCTCACACACATTCGATCAAAATTAGCGATGTTTGCTAGCTTCTTAGCTTTTCCTCGACCTCGCTCGTAATAATAACTGTCGTATCCCTGCTAATTTGCACAAGCGACCCGAGGTTCTTGCCCGTCACTATGTGACGTCATATTGGCAGGCGGAGTGGGTCAAGAAACTTAGGGGGTGTTTACATGAGAAAACTGGCACCGGCACGAGTTTCATACCAGGATGACTTTTTGATTTCGTATCGCGTTACATGATGACTGGACCATTTCATATCCCGTTATTTGAAGGTACACTTCATGTTAATAAAATACACGTCTGATTTAAAATCGGAAACATTACGCATGCGCTACCCGTTCCAGTCTATCAGCAGAACGATTTCACACCGAAACGGGTGGTCGTTTCGCGTTTACATGATACCGTTGCGAGATTTCGTACCGGAGTGAAATTCTCGCCCCGGTACAAAAACCGGGGTGAACTCGCGCCGGGGTGACTCGCGCCGGCATGATATTTTGTGGTGGTATCATGTAAACAAATATAGAGCCATGAGGAGGGAACCGGAGTAAACTCGTTCCGGGGCGAAAGTCGCCCCGGTGTCGTGTAAACACCCCCTTAGGTGGAAAACAATAGAGTAATGTAATAGATTAATGTAATAATCTGAGTGACATTGCTCTTAAAGGTATCACTTAGCTGGTACCTTTTGAAAACGATTTGCTAGACTTTGAGCGAAAAGAAACGAGTGTGTCATCGATTTCTACCGATTGATTGATACAATCGATATTAATCAAATCAGATTTACCGATTTTTACCGATTTATCGATTGATAAATCGATACCGATTTTTATCGATTGACAACTCCGGGCTAAGATATTGAGCTATGTCATCGATCTCAGCTTCGGTGCGAGATATGGCGGTCTCAAATCGCGAGCACACTGCTGCTACTTTTTAACTGACGGATTGATCAGCTCAATTGTTCAACTGTTAACAACTTCCATGCAGCAAGATCGCCGATTCGCGATCAGTCGGCCCCTATGAATGGAGACCAGCCAGAGCCAAGCGGGTCTGCATACGCGTTGCCAATTCTGATGCAAATCCTAGGACAAGTGTCGGTGCGCAGGCCCACACACACGTCGTCGCTTCATTCGTTGCTGTGTCTTTTGATCGTTTTGATCGGGTGTACATCGTGCTACATCAAGTCCCAGCAACACACACAAACCGCGCATGCAGGGAGCATCCAAACATCAGGCCACTGGGCAACGCCTCCAAGTTCTTCCAAAGGCAAATCACGAGGCAAATCCAAAGGCAAATCACGAGCTACCTGTGGACCTTCGTCAAGCAACATCACTTAACAGTTTTAAATCTCGACTTAAAACCTATCTTTTTAAGAAGTATTTTTATAGTTTGTAACTTAGTTTATTTTATTCTCACGGTAATGTATCTTCGTTTTCTCTTAAACATATGATTGTAAAGCGCTATTGATCAGCACATGTAAATACGCGCTATATAAATTGGTAAATTATTATTATTATTAAATTCATCTTTACCGCTAGCCTACGTTTTCTGTACAGTTTTGCATATCTTTGATTTTTGTCTTGTCAACATTTTTAAGTAGTTTCTCTGGTTTGCCTTGATCCTTGTTTTTTCGTTATGTTTACTTGAATCTCCTTGCTCTACTGAGTTTACCCTACTCTCCCACCTTTATACGTGGGAGAGTTCACGTAGCTAGTGACAGGCAGGAAACCTACACGCCAACTGCGTTTCGTGTCAGTTTCGCGTGTTCTTCCTGGGTTGCAGCATGGGTTTATGAATTAGGCATTTTTCAGTGAATTTGGCACAAAGGAGCAAGCTTTCTACGCGCCGATATCCTCGAGTTATCAACAGCTTTTTTTTCCACCTTGACTTTTAAGGGGGGCTGGCTCTTTTGCGTCGCCCCTATCGTTCAATTTACAAGAAAGCAGATTTGGGTAATCGACCAAAGCTGGGAATAATGAAATTACGATGGCGGACCCTGACGTCTTCATTACAACTGACTTAACAGTAGATACGATCACCATTAACCAGCATAGTTTCGAATTAAGGGTAGGGTGTTCTTCTTAACAAGTCTGCTGACATGTGGAGGCAATGTACCGCAATGTCGCATTCCCCCTTGCACTCTCTTTGAGTTGAAATGTTGGTTTAATAACTTATTCACCTGGCCCTCGCTTTTGGCTTACGTCCGGCTCCATTTGTAATTAACACAGTGGTGGACACGGTGGAGTGAATTCTGCTCCACACCCATTAATTATGTTTTCGACCATTTATAACACCTCTTTTGACTGTAGTTATGTATCGGTCAAATCGAAGCTTCAACATCCCCCCGGGTAACCCCCCGGGCATTTGAATTTTATTCCCCCTCCCCAAGCCAAAAAGCTGCTCAAATGCACTATCATAGGCCCACTTTAGGTGATCAAATTCCCCCGCCCCGGGAAATTTTAAAAGTTACCACATTTAATAAAACGAACAAAACTCTCGTACAAAGCGGCGGAAATCACTGATACAGCATACCACACTGAATGCACAGCTTTTCTTCCCATGTCATGCAACATATAAAGCTTTCTAAATAATTCGCCTACTTCGATTACTACATTCTATACATTCATGACCTTTTCACTGACATATTTAAATCATCACACACCTTTTTAACTTTTTACTAATAAACATTACAAGCGGCCGGTAACGAATCACTGTTATTACATTTTATTGTAACACAACTTAAAATATATTCATATATTCATGTAAGCATGAATCATAAAAAAGAATTTAAATACCTTCAAACACAACACAAAGCTTGTGTAGACCTTTGCTTCGCGGCCAACTGGCCGCAAAACCACAATCTTTCTCTTTGCAATCGTTCCAAAGCGCGTCTGCCAACCTTGCTCAAAGCACAGAGACATGTCACATGAAATCGAGGATACAGTTCAAATTCCCCACCTCCTATGCATGGGTATCAAATTCCCCACCCTCTGGAAGACTCTGATAATCAAATTCCCTCCTCCCCGTGACGGCAAATTAAAGGTGTCAAGTGCCCGGGGTATGCCCGGGGGAGGGATGTTGAAGCTTCGAATTGATCGATACATTACTCTTGGTTTGTGTTTTAAGCTGACATCTTTTCGACATTTTCCTAATGCTCGGTTACTTGCTATATTATCTAAAGCACGGAAGAAGTTTTTCGCCTCTAAATCTGGTCAGTAATTAGCAGTTCCCTGCTGCTTGCTCCTGATTTCCATCACTGTGTGGAATGGTACACTTTGTCTACCGGATTACAGCCGTTTCGGATAACACGTGATCTGCGATCTCAAAAACGTGGATTTTGGGTTTTTATTCGACTTCAATCAAAATTTGAAGGCTCGGCGCTTTTTGCGCCTTCACAATTGCGTTTTTCGCTTCCTTCAATCCTCTTAGGAAACAGAAGTTTACTTCAACGGGTTCAAAAGGTCATGGTTTGTGATTTGTGATTGGTGGATTTCGATCCGTTTTGTGTGTGTTTTGTTGTGTGGTGTCAACTTTCCACGTTTTAGCTCTCAAGTTTTTTTACCTTCTTACTGTTTAAATTCCCAAGTTAAAATTTTTCCTATAGAGCTTTCAAATACTGTATAGAAGAAAAACAGATATGGGAGAGTGAAAAGAGTCTGAAAACGAATTAGACAAGGTACGTTTCCATCAACATTTAATTTTGCAGCTTCTGCTCGTTGTTGCCGTCTTTATTTGACAAGCAAGGAATGGATGCTATGGTAACGGTTTTATTAACGTCGAAGAAAAACCCAAAATCCTGAAAAGTTTTGGACAAGGCGGGTCGCGTGTTAGCCGAAACAGCTGTAATGGTCAAGATCATGGTCAACGTCTCTGAAGTTGGTCATTTGCAATAATTTTGTCATTGGAATTAGAATAATAAGGGCAACATTTTCGTTACCATATTTAATGCCTCAAAGTCAGGGTTTTCACTTTTCTTTTGGCTCGGTTTCCTTAATGATTATGATTAGTTTGTTTTATAGAGTTTTTAGCCTTTCCGTAATTGATTCAGAGCTCCACGGAGAAATTAACATTTTAGAGTCATAATGCTAGAATGTAAACTATTTTTTTCAAAGTTTTTTATGCTTTTGTTTTTAAGTATGCTAAATAAATGGTATTTTTTAATGAAGCTCACCTAAAATGTCACTTATACTTGATTTCAACCAGATGGGAGAAACTACCATGTTTGTCTTGTCCACCACGTTGAAAACGCCCACTGCTCTTAAATCCTTATTAGCACCTTGTAATATAACTGTGCCATTTGGTATTTCGTCTGGTTCTGATTCTACTGTGGTAGCTTTCAAAACATACTCTCCATCCTCACCACTTGATTTTACAATTTCATAGCATTGGTTTGCAACGTAACAAAATAGATGCCGATGTTGATCAAGGTTTGTCATGCGCAAGGGTGATTTACTCAAAATACTGCATTTCTTTTTTATCAAATATCCATGATTTAAATCCCGGTGACGGGGGTCAATAAAAATCAAAACGAGCCCAGAAGGAACATCTTTTACAGATTTCGAGACACCTTTCAGATCAAAACACTTTTCTCTGGGTTCTTTACTGAACTCTACTCGGTTAATTGAACCATCAAGAAAATTCTCTTTTTCAATTACTTCCTTGCTTGTGATGATACAGTACTTGCTTAACCCAGTAATATGATCAGTGATATCTGGGTCACAAACCAAGACTCCACACCCAACAATCTCTTTGTCCGGGCCACGTAATATTTTGCACACAGCTAGCCTTGTCTTTTCCTCTGTAGTAGTCTCTTCGGGACTCTGGCCGAAAACTCTGGCTTGTACTTGATCGGGTGTTGGCATAAAATTCCGTAACATCTTCACCAACAGGCATGATATTTCTTTTTTACTCCTAATATCACAAGGAATCAGAGAAAAAAGAGATGTTCATTTAACTGCATAATTATTCACTTTCATCACTTCATAAAAGTTCAAATTATTTACCATTTATTTCAGCTCAGTGTATGAGTACTCCCTAGAATTCTGGATAGGTCTGTGCCGCCCAGGGTCCTAAAAAGACTAAAAATTTTATGGCGTGAACTAATACTATTTCCCATGTACCTGGGAATTTACGCACTTGGATTTTAGCTGAAACGATTTAGGTACCCTTACTAAGGATCAAACTGGGAACACAATACCAACAAGCTAGGGCAAAAATGATACANACTCCTAATATCACAAGGAATCAGAGAAAAAAGAGATGTTCATTTAACTGCATAATTATTCACTTTCATCACTTCATAAAAGTTCAAATTATTTACCATTTATTTCAGCTCAGTGTATGAGTACTCCCTAGAATTCTGGATAGGTCTGTGCCGCCCAGGGTCCTAAAAAGACTAAAAATTTTATGGCGTGAACTAATACTATTTCCCATGTACCTGGGAATTTACGCACTTGGATTTTAGCTGAAACGATTTAGGTACCCTTACTAAGGATCAAACTGGGAACACAATACCAACAAGCTAGGGCAAAAATGATACAATAGATTAGGCATTGAGACCCTCAAAAACCATACCCTATCGGGCGGAACATACCTGTCTAGCCCATATATGGGAGTAGCCCCACCGGGATCTAAGTCATTTCATTTTCGCTATCGATAGAGCGTTTTCACATGACGTCACGGCGGCCATGTTGGTGTTGCAAAGCAATGAAACGATGGCCATATTGGTGTTCCAAACAATTCCTGTGGGAGTTGGACTCTTTCCTCATGTAAAAAATTCCTTTGTTCCCATACGTTTGCATAGATGCTGGCCACGTGAGGGAAAACGCTCTATAGCCTGAGAGCAAGCTCCCTGGCGAGCTTTGATTAGCTCAAAGCTGGATTTAATATTTCGATGTGAGCCTATAAAATGTAAATCTCAAGAAAAATTACCGGGTGAATGTTTGCAGTTTTCGGAGGATTTAGAACTTTTTCTTGCGCATTTTGCTAGAACATTTTTTAGGGGATATTTAAATAAAGTTACACTTGACCGGCTCATTTGCTTTGCGAAAATATGTGAATTTATTTTCGCCTGTGTTGTGTCACAACTCTCCCAATCTGGGAAGAAAACTTAATGCTTACTGTTGCTGAATCGTAACCCATTCTCCTCATGTAAATGCAGAGAATTGCAAGCTGTACAACGCTGTCAGCAAGAGTGACTTCGCAACGGTTTTGCGAGACAATTAGGGTGCGTTCGATTGGGAAATCCGGATTTAGATTTTCAAAATCTAAATCCAGATTTCCCAAACGAACGCCCCCTTAATATCGCTTTCTCGGCGATGTGCTCTTCAATTGCGACGAAATGACTTAAAGTACGGCTTTTACCGTCAAAATCCTGCTCATTTTCATCGAATATATCTTTGAGTTCTTGCTCTACCAGCTTCAAACAGCGTCTGCCGGTAGAATTTCATGGGCAAAAACGTTAAACATACTTAGTTTATTTAATTAGTTTAACATTTGGTGTCGTGGCGCAGTAGCGATAGCCTTACGCGCCAATGCTCCTGGGTTCGACTTCCGCAGGACGAAATTTTTTTTCTTTTCCGTTTGGTCGTTTTGTTTTTGTTTTCTCTGTTTTGCTTTATGTTTTTTTTTCTAACCATATTTTACCAATTGGCTGGTTTTAATTTATTCATATTGCATCCCCTCATCACAGTTACGCGAGGTGTTGCAATAAACGTGTTTCTAATATAAAATGGGCCCGCCTTTGGCAGCCCAGTTAAATAAAGGATTACTGTATCACAGTATGGGTGACCCATGGGTAAGCAGAGACCGGGGCTGGAAGAGAAAGTCCCGTCTTGCCCCCTCGGGTAGCCAATCAGAAAACAGGAATCGGTTGGGCCCGTTTCAAACGTCGTGCTACTGCCGTACCGAGCTAAATTGATCGAATTAAATTCGACTTTAACACGGCAGTAGCGCGACGTTTGAAACCAAGTCGTGCTACTGCCGTGTAACCTGAGATCAGGCGTTATTTTATTTTATTTTATTTTATTTTTTGCTTCTTTGCTTCTTTGGCTCGAGAGGGAATAAAATAACGCCTGATACATTTATTTAACAAGCCATCAACCGCCCCCTAATTTACATAATCTAACGTCTGCTTGACCTGTCATGGAATAATGTCTCTTTCGAAATCAATTTTAGGGAAAAGGAAATTTTTAAGTACGTTCAGATGACGCTTCCTAAAAAAAAAATTTTAAAGTTTTTTTTTGTGATGAAATACTGCTAGCTGGTGAACCCGTTTGTCGCTTCTTTAACTTGTAGCCGGTATCAAATTGCATTCAAATGATCGGTGAATTTTTGACTGCAATGTTTAGTATACGATGAAATGGAAAATATTTCAATGGATGAAATTTCTATTTAGACATTCTTCAAATTCAAGAAAACTGAGTCGGCAGAAATTTCATAACGAACTCGCGTGTGTATTCACTGCTCATTACGCAAGCAAAAATGCAGACTGAAATCAGCCTATTTTTTTTTTCACTGCTGTCGGTACAACAACAACCAACGGATGGCGGCGTTTTGGCCTATCGGAACAGCGCAGATCATCCGAATTGTTTTCTATCCAATCAGAAAAAAGTCCAGATTCTAGCTTTTTTGCATGTGACCTGTGAAAGAAATGTATCATGCCCTCCTCCCGAAAACAGATTACAGAGATAAAGGGACAGGGCATGATCGCAGGCTAACTGCCGTGTAGCACGGAAGCTTTGCCGTGCTACACGGCAGTAGCTCGACTTGGTTTCAAACATCGCGCTACTGCCGTGAACAGGGGTCTTTTTCGCATGAGCATGCGCGACCGCTGAACAAGCGATTTGCATGGAGGCTCACCACAGGGTCTGCCTTCATCAAAATTGCGCGTCTCAAAGCTATCATCGCGATTATTTTGCTAGTTGGCCTTGGCGAATGTGCTTGTGATTTAACAAAATGTGTAGTTTGCAAAAAAACCCTGACATGGTCTCCACAAAAGCGAAGTAGACCGGCTTTAACATACCACGAGCTACTATCAAATTTCATCTCCCCACTTGACCTGGACAACAGCGCGCGTATATGTAGTGCTTGTAGGATTGCGCTGACCTCATCAAAGTCTAAAAAAAGTGCTGAAACGTTTGCTGATGTAAGTAAACACTTTCAATTATCTTTGTTTTGAAATGGAAAGGAACACAAATATTAAAAAAATTATCATTGCAAATTTCAGCGAGTGGGTTCGAAGTGCGCAAAAGCCGGTGTTCAGTTCAGCAGTGAATAAATGTATGTTCTACCATTTTCTCAGCACTTTAACGCTACAAAATTAACAGCACACGAGACGTTGATTGGTCACCTGGTGAGATGTTGGTGGTAGTCACTCCGTATGTCTCGAACAATAAAAAAAAATGAATATCAATGAGGCACAGTCAAAACTGCATTCAATAGGACCGAAATTAAAGTCGAATCTTGTGACCGATTTTGATGAAAAAAACGGTTAGTTTTCACAAGAAGTACAGTAAACATGTGATGCCGACCAAAAGTTAAAAATTATTAGAGCACTCAAGTTCTGGCTAAAAGCATATTCCTGTACAAGATGCGCTACAATGTTAGTCCACGCATAAACGAGAACTTCTACAATTTTCCGATAAACAAACTTTGTATCGCTAAAATACTTAAGGGAACACCTTTCTATTCCAACTGATAACGGCGTGGTAGTCGCCCGCTGATAGTTATTAATCCACTCCCGAAATATGGCTAAATCGGCTATCCACAAATTATTGACAGAAATCCTCTACGGCATCGGGAGGCTAATTTACATCCGATTTATAGACAAACACTAAATAAAGAACATTTTTCTCAATATCTACCCATCAGTAATGCATTCTATGCCAAACTTTGTGGTTCTTGAAGGGGAATCAAGACACAAGTCGCGCGCCAAACAACAACAAGCAGCCATGTTCGTGTCAGACATCATTGAGAAACTTGCTCTTTCATCTCGTTCAGCGCATCAGTCTCCACTTAAAATCACCAGATCTTTACTTTTTTTGTACAACGAAGGTCTTTCGTAAGTTCTTGCTACCATTTTAATCTCAAGCAAGCTTTCAAAGTGAAGAGTTTGGTTCCTATGACTATGCACTACGGTAGCTGTCACAGGTCGCGTGCTCTTTATCAAGTCTTAGTGCGCATGCTCATGCAAAGAAAGACCCCTGTTACTTCACCGGCGAAAAATGCCTACGCATGCTCTGCAAAAAATGACACGTGATCTATTTCGGGCAATGTCATTGGCCCCGAGGCAAAAATGCCCGCGAAATGTTCTTGAGATGAAAGGAGCGATGGCAACTTTTTTTGGCAGTGACAGCGTTGCAATTTCTTGCCACTGTAAGAGATCAAAAATTATTTTGGTCAAAGTTTTGACGGAAGTGTGTTCTCTAGAGAATATAGCGTCCTGGAACTGGCGAAAAATCGCAGTGGCATGGTCTGATTCAGTGTTGTTGACGTTGAGATCGCTGGTTTCCATGTGGAAGTAATGCCGAAAAGGTGGGTAATTTCTACTCTCTTTGTTTACTGCATGTTCCGTGTAACTCGGTACAAAAAGAAATTATAAAGTACTGGAAGAAAAATTATTGGGCTTTATTTTGGTGTATAAATTAGCTTGTACCGAGTTGCACAGAAGGGACAGTTTTGTTAAATGTGTATCCCGTTTTTGTGTCAAAAATCGACTTTGTGAATCTAACATTCGACAACATTCGACTGTTGATCGAAGAGCGTATTACAACGC